TGCCTCCCAGGTTCAAGTGATTCTCCTGCCTCAGCCTCCTGAGTAGCTGTGACTATAGGCACGCACTACCACATCCAGCTAATTTTTATATTTTTAGTAGAGACAGAGTTTTGCCATGTTCATTGGCCAGTCTGGTCTCGATCTCCTGACTTTAAGTGATCCACCTACCTCTGCCTCCCAAAGTGCTGAGATTACAGGCGTGAGCCACTACGCCTGGCCCAGAGAACCCATTTCTGACCATACTGTTGGACTTGGAGCCTCTCCCTACTGCTGACCTGAACCAGGTTGAGATGTGGGTGTTGCTAGGAAGCACGGGGCAGCCCCTGAATCAGGGAAAGGGCAGAGTGGGAAGCTTAGGCTGTACCACCAGCAGTGGGAAAGAGGGTTCTCTGGGCAGGACCTGTGCCTGGGAGACTGTTCCAGGTCAGGATCATAGCAGAGTTGGCTGTTTGTAAGTTGGAATGGCCTACAGAATGTAGGTCTAGAATATTATACTGGGTGATGATCCTTTACCCTTATGAACATTTGCTAGTGTCCAACCAATGTTAACCATAATTATGTGTTGTGTTGATTTGAAACAAAATTCCCTTTGATGACAAATTTGACCTTAGCTTGGTACATAATAAACTTGTTTTTAACACTCAGTGAGTAACAATTTGGCAGGGATAGCAATCTCATATGAATGCCACTTTTAATAGTGAAATAAACCTCAACTAAAATCCCCAAGCTATCCTTGGATGTGGGTTTTTAGGTGCATACTGCTGTGGTTGTACAGAATTTAAGAGATCTGCCACTCACTACTGAGTTATCTGGAACAAGTTGCTAAACGTTCCAAAATCTTATTTCCTCACCTGTAAAATTGGGACAGCAATACTATTTTCATCATAGGATTTTTGTGAGGAGTAAATTAGATCAGTCATGTAAAGGGTTTAGCATAGAGTAAGCACTTACTAAGTGTTGGTTACTATTATTTTTATTAGAAGGAAGCAAAGCTTATATTGGAAGGACTCATAACATATGGGCATGTCTGAGTGATTGACCTGCACTTATTCATTTTTTATAATCCAACCTGGAAAACATTTTTTTGGTGTTCATTTTTGATTTGGTTCTCCAAATAGCTAAGGAAAGCTGTATAGCTGGACCTTATTCTTTCATTAGGAAAAGATAATTGAGAACATATTTCTTGTCTCTTGATCCCTGTTCTAATTTACCAAGGTATAAAATTCCATGAGTTGATTGCTTCTTTGCATACATATACAAAGAAAGGTTCATCAGAATTTATGAAAATTTGTGGGAAATTCAGAGAAGTCTCCAAAAAGAGACAACACAAAAAAATTCATAACAGAAAGGAAAACACATATATGCTCATATTAATGGGCATTTTCCAGCTTACTAATGACAGGTTATCTTCCAAAACTCACTTACGTTATTTGGAACTTACGGTATATTTTCCCAAAAAAGCAATGAAATAGTGGTAGTTACATTCCCAGCCAGAACTCTACTCACCTCAAACTCTATTTGAAAGTACAGTTCTAACGCCGTAAGGCTGCTTTCTGCATCCTGTGGTGGAGAAGAAAAGGTTCAAAGAGAGAACCTTTTCCTCAGCTCAAACCTAGCTAGAGAAATGTTTTGGTAGGAAGAGTTTGCCTTCAGCTTTTTCCCACCTCCTTTTGGAATTCCTTTTTCAGCAGCTAATTTTCCTCATCCCTACACTCCACATTACTTCTGTATTACGCCAGCCTCCCTCAGTGACCTCCATACACATCTTTTTAAGATAGTCTTCATTCCAGAATACTCTTCTTATGTTAATACCTACTTCCTCAATGCTTCTGTTCAGTGTTGGGGGAAAGCCTCCCCCAATGTAAGAGTTTATCTCTTACATTCTCAGAAGCTTTTTCACTTGTAAAAGGGGATCCTTCGTTAGCTATTTAATTATTGAAATTATGGATTTTTTTAAAGAAATGAAATGGAGAAATTCTGACACATTTAGGCATAAATGTGTGTAATTGGGCAGAAGGTGATATAATTGGGAACCAGTTTTGATCGCAGTCTCAAATTCTGAGATGTTTCGTGTTAGCGTGGAACAGCTCAGCAGGTGGAGTGGGGAGGGAAGAGAAAGGCTGAGTCTGGGGTGACTGGCAGCGTGGGGCTGCCTGGATTACCATGATAGTGACAGCTGTCAGCCTATCCACCCTCTCTGGGAGAACATGGGCTCTTACTTGGTCCTGTTTGGCTAGATAATGAATACTTTAAGCCTTTGGGAGATGATTGAAGCGCGCTACGGATTCTCGGTAAAATTCATGCTTGTGAGGTAGACAAATGCCTAACTCATTTGACTGTTTCCTCAGTGACTGCAACCTACCTGAGAACCCTCTGTTCATTGCATGTGGTGGCCAGCAAAACCACACCCAGGGGTAAGTGGATTCCAACATTGTTCATAGAAAGAGGACATCTCACCTGAAGGGGATCCCCTATAGAGGTTGAGAACATGGGATTTGTTGAGAGACAGCTGTAGATTCAGCTTCCAGATTTGTCACTTGCAGCTGTGTGATTTTTAAAGAAGCTGCTTGATTTTTGGAGCTATAAATGGAAAAAACACATCAGCACTCTCAGAATTATGGTGTGGATGACATGCAGTGGTGGATGTAAAGCAATTTGCACATATTGAGTTGCTCATTAAATGGTAGGTAGTGGCTGGGCACAGTGGCTCCTACCTGTAATCCTAGCACTCTGGGAGGCTGAGGCAGGAGGATCCCTTAAGTCTAGGAGTTCAGGACCAGACTCGGCAACATAGTGAGAGCCCTATATCTATAAAAAAATGAACAAAATTAGCCAGGCGTGGTGGTGTGTGCCTGTAGTCCCAGCTACTTGGGAGGCTGTGGTGGGAGGATTGCTTGAGCCTAGGAGGTTGAGGCTGCAGTGAGCTGAGATCACGCCAATGCATTCCAGTCTAGGCAACAGAGTGAGACCCTGTCTCAAAGAAAAAAGAAATGTAGTTAGTATTATTATAACTATCTATATTATTGTCTTACACATAAACTTTACCCCGATTTTACCATGAAAATGTATTTATCAGTGAGACAGTGTGGGAAGAAGCCCTCTGTGGTAAGGGCCAGAGGCCTGATTTGTATTTTAAGAAATGATATTTTCTGCTGGAGTCGGGTACCAACCACTAGTCATTTATGCATTCATTTAATAAGTTATTAATATTATAAATATGTGTGTATTTATTAATAAAATATAACAAAATAATACAAACAATAAAATATCATTTTTTAATCAGTAGGTGCCAGGAACTGGTTCAGGCACTAGAGATATCATTGTGAACAAGACAGAAACAGTTCCTGCTCTCAGGTATATGGCCTGGAAAGTACTAAACAAGTAATTGTGGACATTGTTAAGTGTTAGGAAGAAAAAATGCAAGGTGCTCTGGGGATTTGCCACAGAGCGTCCTGGCGTGGGCACAGGAGAGCTCTCCTTGAAGAAGTGATGGCTTAACCGAGATATTTAAGGATGGTCAAGAGTGAGATACTAAAAAATAGAGTATTGCAATGAAAAGTGCTGAGAGGAATGATCTTAGCACTTTGGAAGAATGAAAATTACACAGAAAGGGCTCAGTGAAATCCTCATTGTTTGTTCTGTTTGAATTGGATAAGGTTTATTGTTTTTTTTTTCTCCTAGCAAACCATTCCTTCAACATACTTTTGTTGTTTTTTAATCACATTGGACACCTTTCGATTAGGCTTGCAATCTTTCTTCGGGTTGTCAGAACCCTGACACTAGTTGGTGTCGTGCCCAGGGCCCCGTCACTTACGGCTGTTGTCCACTCCCTACTTCAGTCATTTCCGAAGCCTCTCTGGCTCCCTGAGTCATCTGCTTTATGGCTGGTTGACATATCTGAATGTGAAAATGTATTTTTATTGTATAATTAATTATAGCACGTCTTTGAAGATAAATCAGTAGGCTGGCTGGGCGCGATGGCTGACGCCTGTAATTCCAGCACTTTGGGAGGCCAAGGCAGGTGGATCACCTGAGCTCAGGAGTTCGAGCCCAGCCTGGCCAACGTGGTGAAACCCCATCTCTATTAAAAATACAAAACAATTAGCCGGGTGTGATGGTGCATGCCTGTAGTTCCAGGCTACTCGGGAGGCTGAGACAGGAGAATTGCTTGAACCCAGGAGGCAGAGGTTGCAGTGAGCCGAGATCGCGCCACTGCACTCCAGCCTGGGTGACAGAGCAAGACTCCGTCTCAAATAAATAAATAAATATAAATAAATAAATAAATGAATAAATCAGTATGCCTACATACCAGTTTCCCCACCAGCTGACACCTGTTTCTTTCCCTTTTATGTGAAATGTTGAAATATCTACTTTTTTCATAATCTGGAAAGAATTGAAGCTTTTTACTCCTACCGCAGAGCTCTGATATTATAGGAAATATTTTTTCTAAGGATAGGCTTTTAAGCCTTAGAAATGTGTTTACTAAAAGATTTTGTGAAATGAAGGTTTTTCTAAAATTTTGTTTTCTGTGTTGCTCCTTCAGCCTTCTGATGTTAAAATTTTGTAGTCTTTTAACCTGTGATTAACATGACTATATTCTTCAGTTCAGTTTTTCAGGGGATTAATTGTTTTCTCATTTGTAACCAGTTTATTCCTCTTTGTCTTCAACAGCTCGAAAATGCAGAAAAATGATTTTCACAGAAATTTGACTACATCCCTAACTGAAAACATTGACAGGAATATAAACTATACTGAAAGAGGAGTGGTCTTTAGTGTAAATTCCTGGACCCCGGTAAGAATTTTCTGCTCTAAGTTGGGGAAGAGGAATGCTGCTTCTTGAGATACCTTGTTTTGCTGAGTCCCTGGGTATTTATTTGTCCACTGAAAGTTACCTGTGGTGGGGTGTGGTGGCTGGAAGGCTGAGGTGAGAGGATCCCTTGAGGCCAGGAGTTTGAGACCTGTCTGGGCAACATAGCAAGACCTTGTCTCTACAAAAATAAATCAATTAGCTGGGTGTGATGGCTGTGCCTGTTGTCACAGCTGCTTGGGAGGCTAAGGCAGGAGGATTGCTTGAGCCCAGGAGTTCGAGGCTACAGTGAGCTATGATCATGCCAGTGCACTCCAGCCTGGGCCTACGCATGTGCCAGGCCAGCAAGTGCTCTTGGCATCCATATGTGGTTTGTTCTGAAGATGCCCTGAGTCTGCACCTCAGTGGTCTCTGTCAAGTCAAGATGACCCTGGGCACCCAGGCCAGTCCTTCTTTGGATTTAGTCCCAAAGGTGTTCACAATGTTGAAGGCTCACTTTGCATAGCCCCATTGTGTATGAAATTCATCAACGAAGTTATCTGTTAGGACACTGTACTGGGGGATATAAAATGAAAGACAAATGAACTCTGGCCCTTAAAAAAGTTCAGTCTAAAAGGAGTGACAAATACAAAAATAACCATTATGTGAGTAGACTGCAACACATACCACGGTGAGGTAAGGGGATCGTTGGGTAGCAGGAAGAAAGGGTGTGGTAGCTCATGCTTGTAATGCCAGCACTTTAAGTGGCTGAGGCAGGTGGATTACTTGAGCTCAGGAGTTTGAGACCAGCCTGGGTAACATAATGAGAACCTGTCTGTACAAAAAAATAACAAAAAATTAGCTGGGCATAGTGGTGTGTACTTGTAGTGCCAGCTATTCCGGAGGCTGAGGTGGGAGGATTGCTTGATCCTGGAAGGAAGAGGTTGCAGTGAGCTGAGGTTGCACCACTGCACTCCAGCCTGGGTAACACCCGGTCTAAAAAAAAAAAAAAAAAAAGGGAGAAAAGCGTCACCTTGGAGGCTATCAGAGAAGGCTTCCTGGAGGAGGGGACATTCAAGTTAGGCCTTGGACAGTAGATAGTATTTCATCAGTGAGAGTACATTTCTGTTAGTGGATTGGGAAAGTTTCAGGTGTTGGGAAATCTGAGTAGTTGTATTTGCCTGGCGCACAGGACAAGGAATATGAGTCACTGTGAGAGGCTTAGGAAGCGAAGTAGGCATTGGACTGTAGTGGGCTCTTAATGTCAGAAGGATTTAGACAACTTTGTGAATGGGGTCTCTGGGAATTGGGGAAGGGCCTGGTTTAGGTTTAATGCTCTGCTGTCACTGCATTAAAATTCTTAACAATTTTTTTTTTTTTTTTTTTTTTTGAGACAGAGTCTTGCTCTGTTGCCCGGGCTAGAGTTCAGTGGCACCATCTCAGCTCACTGTAACCTCTGCCTCCTGGGTTTAAGCAATTCCCTGCCTCAGCCTCCTGAGTAGCTGGGATTACAGGCACCTGCCACCATGCCCGGCTACTTTTTGTATTTTTAGTAGAGACGGGGTTTCGCCATGTTGGCCAGGCTGGTCTTGAACTCCTGACCTTAGGTAATCCACCCACCTGGGCCTCCCAAAGTGCTGGGATTATAGGCATGAGCCACTGCCCCTGGCTTTAGCAATTTTTTAACAAAAGGCTGCATGTTTTAATTTTGCCCTGGTCTCCCTAAATTATGTAGCTGGTCCTGGATCAGGGAGGAGAACCTCTCTCAAAGCACGTGTCATTTTGTCTTGCCATATTTGGATTTTCTCCTTTCAAAAAAATGAATTGTCTAAGGAGGGACTTTATGTTCCCAGTGTCTGTCATGGTGCCTGGCATAGAGTAGGAGCTGATTAATTGCTTCCTAGATGAATGAGCAAGTCAGAGCTGGGCTTTAGGATGAAGCAATCTATGTATGGCCTGCCAGTGAGATTAGAATGGGCAAAGCAGAAGGTATAGTCATGCCTGAAAGATCCTCAGACCCTGTACTTTCCCAGAGCCTGAGCCATCTGGGCTGCCTTAATGCTCTGAGCCAATTGAGCTCTGCTTTGGAGCAGACCTAGGAAGTCTTGTTTGGTCTCATGTCACCCTTGGGCAGATTTAGAGTTGTGTCCCCTTAACTTGGATGGATCTAGTATCTGGTCAGCTTGTTCAGGGCCATTCTAGTTTGTGCTTTTGTCTCTGCAGTAACTGCATTAAGAACCATTCAACATCTCAAGCTGAGTGGCTTGTTGTCCCCCAAATTCTCTGGCATATGGCTCTTAGCACTCTGCATGTGACCTCTCATGCCTGCCTGGCAGCAAATACAGTCGCATCTCAACCTGGGTGTGGTTTGGAGGATATCTTGGTTTTTTTGTTTTGTTTTTTGAGGCGGAGTCTTGCTCTGTCACCCAGGCTAGCATGCAGCAGCACGATCTCGGCTCACTACAACCTCCATCTTCCAGGTTCAAGTGATTTTCCTGCCTCAGCCTCCCGAGTAACTGGGACTACAAGCTCCCACCACCACACCCAGCTAATTTATATATTTTTGTAGAGACGGGGTTTCCCTATATTGGCCAGGCTGGTCTTGAACTCCTGACCTTGTGATCTGCCCACCTCGACCTCCCAAAGTGCTAGGATTACAGGTGTGAGCCACCATGCCTGGCCAGTCTGGAGGATATCTTTGGCATCCTGGTGTTGTTCCAGTTTATTTGTTTGTTAAAAATATATACATATATACAAATGCAATTAAAGTTCTAGATTGAAAGGACTTGTTCTTTTTGTTGTTGTTGTTGAGATAGGGTCTCATTCTGTTGCTCAGACTGGAGTGCAGTGGTGAGATCTCAGCTCACTGCAGCGTCAACCTCCTGGGTGCAG